CCCCCCCCCCCCAATATTCTATTTTTGTGTATTGACAGTTTACGATTGTCTGGAACTTACTTGAAAACATTTCTTTGAAAAACTGAAGGCATCCTGGGTGATCAAAGTTGTCTCTTCCTGAGCATGTTTACTGCTGATTGGTGAGGGGGACACCCAAATACATTTCCAAATAGGTGCTGCAAGGGAAAAATGCTGGTAAACTGATGTATGTTGGTATGTAAATGCCTATACATTCTATACAAATGCCAGTTTTGATGTTGGGGCTATACTCTGTTGTAAAACCAGTTTCAGATAACAAATACATTTAACTTTTTAATGCACATTTTTAAACACGCAATCTTCAAAGCCTATTTTTACCTAGGCCTGTTCAAAAATGGCATAAGCAAAACTTTTTTCTGAATGCAGACACCTATGGGAAGTAGCATCAGTAACAAGTTCAGCCATTTGATTCAGAGAATTAAAAAAAGAGATAATGAATTAGTACCTTCACTGCAAGATGAAAGTCCTCAGAAAAGGCAGCTTCAAAACAATTGGAAGAGCAATTAGCTTCCAACACTAACTGAAACAGTTGAACCATCATAAAATGGCTAGAGAGAAAGTAAACACTTCCCAACCCTCATTAGCACCACCGTGTAGTTTATAATTCAACATGATGCTAGTAAGAAACCACGCAGGCTCTCCCCATCTCCTCTCCCTACTCTCCAGATTCATGACTGCAGCCATTTTGTCATTAAAAGGAAAAACTGTATCAGAACAGTTCCACAGTTGCGATCAATACAGTTCAGATCCTTGTTTGCCTTTGAGCAGACAAGAAGGTGAGAAATGCTAACGTGGACTCAAGGTACTTTGCACACTGCAGCATTAGGTAGAGAAATGCAGCCTGGCTAAAACAAAGAGAAGCACTACTAAAAGTAACTGGACTGGTCTAATTAAGTTCACCTCACTGGGAATAGCAATTAACATCTTACTGCAATACTACACTGGGCAACCTAGGTATAACCAGAATTAAGAAAAAAAGTCAAGCTGGTTTCATGTAGTTGATTTTATTATTACATATTAATAATACATATCAACACAGCTCATATCAGAATAAACCCTTATGGGATCAATAAGTGCCATAATGCAAATTATGGAACAGAAGATCAGTGTAAAGTGTGGAGCACCACAGCATCCGATTAATAACAACAAAAAAAAATATGCTATGAAAACTCGTGGTATTAGACTTCACTTAAAAAAAAAAAATCTTAGGAAAGGCCTAAAGTTCACAAACTTCCCAAAACACAGGAAAAGTCATGTGCATCCCCCCAGTGAATCCATCAGGACTTAATTCCATGAAGACTTTTTGCAGATTCAGTGTTTAAAAATCTTCTACATATTTCATACTCTTTACTGTAAGAGAGCACAGTAAGCTGATCTATTCTACACACTTATTGTTTCATTCTTTTGGGGCAAATTACGATCACAATTTCCTCTAGCTTTAAACAGCTACTTCAACCAGTTTATATACATGTATGTGTAAACAAAACGCCTAAGTAAGGGCTTAAAGCAATTTCACAGAAGAATCCCAATTCAGCTATTTGTGCTCTTTACTTCAAAATCCAAAGTGCCAAAATCAAGCAGCAGAAGTTTCCACTATTGCAGTCTAAAATACAATAATGATCCCATTTACTTGTGTGAATTTATAGAAATCATTTAAAGCCACAATTCCAATTAATTCAAGAGGGCTGAGAACAGGAATACTACATTTACAGTAACTGCACAGCTTGCATGGCCAAAAATGTCTCAAAACCGATTTTTAAACTGTTATTAACAAGTAAAGGAATGTACGCATGTTGACAATTTAAATAGACAACTACTGCACTGATCCAAATTTGTTAATGCATAATCATATTTGAAAATATACAAAATCTGAAGTTATTACATGAAATTAAAACCTGGTTTTAAAAAGTGCACAGTAAAAACTGAAGGTAATTACTATATAAATTATCCACAGAGTGTGTATTTCCTGGTTTAGAGACAACATTAAGTTCTGTTTTATCTGTTACAAGTTCTAAATATTTTAAAGCCATTTACACACCAAATCAGTTTTTACTAGACCCAATACCACCCTCTGCTTCCTGGAAGAAACAGGAATTGGACAATGAACATTCACTATCTCCATCCTGTGCAGCAGCAGCTTCCGAAGACAGCTGGTTAGCCGTAAGCTATCGATTTTTGTTCTTTTTAGAATTTCCCTGCAACAAGAAACAAGTCAACAGAACATACAATTCAGATAAGAAAATTTAGACAGATAACATATAAAACCTGACATCTGATAATTTATGCCTACAGCAAACAAAGCAGCACAGTCAAACTGAAAATAAGCAATCTATAGGTTTTTAATAATGGAAGCCTGTAACTGCTTGCTCTGAAAATCCCTTTATCTTTACAGGCATAACAGAGGAAAGTACCAGATATTCCAAATAAGAACAACAGCACCTTACTTCAATCGAAACCTGTGGAAAAGACATTTGAGTCATGTCCCAAGACACTCAATTGTATTAACACCACTAATACTGTAAGGGCAGCGAAGGCAAGTCAAATCATAATTTACCCTTAAGTGATGTTTAAAATATCAACCTTATAAGATAATTGCTTCAAATTGGAAAGGACCTTCAAGATCATCAAGTCCAACCATTAACCCAATGCCACCATGACCCCTAAACCATGTGCTGAAGCGCCACATCCACACGTTTTTTGAACACTTCCAGAGCTGATGACTCCACACCACCTCCCTGGGCAGCCTGTTCCAATGCCTGGCCACCCTCTCGGTGAAGAAATTTTTCCTAATATCCAATCTAAACCTCCCCTGGTGCAACTTGAGGCCATTTCCTCTCGTCCTATCACTAGTTACTTGGGAGAAGAGACCAACACCCACCTCATCACAACCCACTTTCAGGTAGCTGTACAGAGCGATAAGGTCTCCCCTCACCCTCCTCTTCTCCAGACTGAACAAGCCCAGTTCCCTCAGCTGCTCCTCATAAGACTTGTGCCCCAGACCCCTCACCAGCTTCGCTGCCCTTCTTTGGACATGTTCAAGCACCTCAGCATCCTTCTTGTAGTGAGGGGCCCAAAACTGAACACAGTGATCTAATCACAGTGATTTAGTGACATAAAGTGTTTGTTCTTTCCCACATATATGTTTTGCAAGAATTTTTCTTCACCAAAATGTGCAGGACCAGGCTTGGAGTTTTCTTTCCAACTGGCCAACAATAAGAACTATAGCTTATGAATTGGTTTGTTAAAGAGTAGTGCTGCAGGGATGCCAAATGCAACCTATAGACCTCAAACCTGCAGGCAATGCCTAGTGTCAACACCTGGAAGCTTACCTTACTAGTCATCTTTAGTGTATCAATTTCTTCCCTTTGTTTAGTTAAGGTTTCATTCATACTGCAGAGATGGTCACTCATCATACTTAACTGATCCTCGTAACTTCTCTTTGTCGTCATCAGTTCATCCTAAGGGAAAAGAGAATAACCAGAAGCCTTTGCTCATATTAGTGTCAACTGGCAAAGCAGCCAACGTCCATCTCCACTTCGTAAGCTACACTTTTGATGCTGAATGTGTGCAATTAAGCTAAATAATTGGAGAAAAAAAACCCAAAACACTTTATGAAAGAAAGTCAATAGCTATTTTTCTTTTACCTGAAGTCTCATGCATGGTCTGTTCCCCTTATTTTTGCTCTGTTTCCTTTACACTTTGTTTTCACCCACTTTTTTATGGCTTACATAAAAGACTAACAGCTAATTTTCCCAACACTGCTTCCAGCCAAGAAACAAGTCAAGTTTATAGGCTTAGAGTGCAGCCTGTACATGAACATACATGGCATACAAAGCTGAAGGAATCAGCAATCCACATGCAGTTGTAGAGCTATGAACTCTCTGGGATTAGAGAGAGCTGGTGGGATAGCGTGCATGACTAGAACGCAGCAATGAAGGGTTACAGACACTTTAGGAAGGACAGGAGAAAAGAGAAGAAATCATGCTTTATGTGAAGAAGTGGTTTGAAGACAATTAAGATCTCATAGTTAGGGATCAGAGAACAAGGGCGATATGGTGGGCATCTGCTACAAGCAGACAAAAATCTCCCAACCCCAGATCCTGATCTTCATGAGGGATTTTAACTACTCTGACATCTCCTGGAAGGGCAACAAGGTGGAACACAAGCAATTCAGGAGTTCTCTTGAGTGTGGTAAAGAACTTCTTGATACCAGTGATCAATAGGCCTAGGAGATGCTCTCTGATCGACCTGTTACTCACAAATATGGAAAAGCTGGTCAGGGATGTGAAAGCCAATGGTAGCCTTGGCTGCAGCAACCATGAGTTAGTGGAATTTAAGATCCTGAGGGAAGCAAGCAAGATGAATAGTAGAATTACAGCAACCCTAGATTTAAGAAGAGTAGATTTTGGCTTTTTCAAGGTCTGCTTGGCAATATGCCAGATAAAACTGCCCTCGAAGTTAAAGGGGCCCAGGAAAGCTGAATGATCAAGGACAGAGCAAGGAACAGTCCAATGTTTGGGAAGTGGAGCAATTGCGGCAGAAGACCAGCATGGCTGTACAGGAAATTCCCGATTCAACAGCTTGATCTGAACTCTCTCTGCTCTGACCAAAGGAGGGGACCAGATTACTTTCAGAGGACCCTTCCAACCTAAACAATTCTATGATTCAATATCATGCAGACTACTAAACGTACAAATGGTGTGCCTGCTATCTTTTCTTAGCAAGTTTAATATGTAATTGGAGATTATCATCTTGTGCTGAGTTTGACATTGATTGTGGAATTTGTTAAAGGAACAAATCCAAAGAGCACCGTGTGTTTTTGAACAATTCTTTTACATGTATACCATTATATTCACTGCTTGTATTGAGCATTTTAGGTACTCACCATCTCAGACAGGTGAGCAATAAAGATATGAACTAATATAAAGAAAACATGATGGCATTTATGAACTGAATATTTATATATACTGTGTTTTACTATTGGCTCCTTTCTCAGCTATGTGGAGGGCAAGGACAAAGGGACAGAACATTCACAGGATGTCTGGTGTAACAGTTTGTTATCTATTGTTAACAACAGCTTCTCAAAGATTACCCCAAAGTTATTTTTCTTAATATTAAGCTATCCAGCTCAAAAAAAACACCCTGGCATTTCTAAGACTTTCAGTCCCAGGTGCTAGAAGGGACTAAGAATTTGGTGTATCATCTGAAATCAGCCACACAACCACACCTTTTGACATATCCCTCCCGCCCCCCCCGATTTTCATAAAAAGCCTTGACATCAAATGTGCTAAAACACAGGCTTGGCTACTATAACCTTTTCCTTGCAAGCATGTTCCACTTCAACTTTATACATGGGATTTAAGTACATTATTTAAGTCTCCTCTCTACGTACCATTAGAGTTTTTACATCACATAACTAAGGACCTAGTAAAAGCATGACTATGCTCAATTGTTGTAATTTTTCTCCTCCAACTTCCCCTTACACACGATTACAAAATGCATCTATTAGATAACATTTTACTTGCCTGTAATCTACTGATGTTTTGACTAGCTAGTTTCAACTCTTCTGCAAGCGATTCCTTGGACTTCTCTGCTAAAGACAGTCTTTTAGCAAGTGCTCGACACTGTCAATCAGAACAGGATAGGAAGGGTAGAAGGGAGGAAAGTTAGTTCCAGAGTATTGCCTTGTGCCATCTTTAACTGATTGCTCAGGATATTTCCATCTTTCTGTAATCCTTAGATTTCAAGAAACTTAGTCAGAGCTTGTGCACATTTTAAAATGCAAAGGTAATGTAATAATTAACATTATATTTTTGTTTCATTTTACAGAATTACCATATTGCCAATCCTCTAAATATCATATTTTTCGCATAAATACTAGGAAATATTTCATAAGTAAAAAGCATCACAAACAACTCACTTCATATATTGCTCAAATATCAGAGAAAGATGGTTCCTCCAAACTATGTCATCTACCATTAAAAAATATTTAAGAGGAGTTGCTCTGTCAACCTGGAGCTTTCGTATATTCCACATCAGTTAATTACACAAACTGAAGTGGCCACTACTTTCAAGAAAATTACCTCATGATTTTAAATGAAAACAGGAAACCATAGATACAATGATTCGTTTTGTTAATTCTTGAAGTTAAGTATAACTCATACCTAAGAACCAATTTCTCAAAGGAGAGCTGTTTTCATCACTTCATAATACACTCAAATAATCTTAAAGTGATGCTGATGTCATTCAAAATTAAGTCAAAACTAGCTTGGTAACTAAAGCCAGCTGCTTCAGCTTATATGAACAAGCCTATACATGATCACGTTATACTAAATACACCCGAGACAAGGCTACCAAAGGATTTATTTAAAAAAGTCTTTCTACAGTATCTATTTTTATGCATACTAGACCACAACCAAAAAACATATTCCAGGAACAGATTTTCATGAAACATTATGTTCTATATATTTAAAGTCACTGTCATAACACTTGCCTGTGCAAAGTTTAGAAAGGGATTTACTGTTTTCAGACACTGCCTGCATGCTCACCTCAGCATGAAAGTGTACTGATTTGCTGTCAGCAAGCTGCAGATGAGATGTAAGTTCTGCTATCCTTGCCATATAGTGGTTTTTTATCAGGTCTTCACGAGACTCAACATCTGGAGCCTGGCAAAGCAAAGATTTAAGCAGATAAATATTTAAATTTAGTAGACTGAATACATGCATCACAACATTGTCCTCTATACTGAATTCTTCCCTCCTGAGGCCTAGCTGCTCTACCCAAAAGCATTAAATTCCCCAAACACAGCAGACAAATTACAGCAGGTCACTCTACAATTTGTCACTCTGATGGTGACTCAATGTCAGACTTCCTTAAAGGACAAAGAGCTGACTGAAGATGATATGTTAAATGAAGCTAACTTCTTACAAGTCTCTGATGACGGTGAAAATCCACTGCAGAAAGAGGACTACTTTCACCTACATAAAAACTTACTGGCTTTTCCCAACAAGGAAGAATTCCTTCGCATAACTAAATTTCAGAAGATCACAACAATCAGAACTACTTCTAATGTTGCGTGGTCCCGAAGTTTAAAGTCTTTAGGCATTTGAACTTTAAAGGAAAAAAAAGAAGAAAAAAAAAACACCACCTCACATCTCACCAGTTTACTGAAAGTTACAGAGAAACCACTACAGGCAGCTTTCACATGACTTGTCATTACCTTCAAGTTCAGCACTCTGCAGTAGCTTTTAAGAACTTTTATCAGTTATTATCTGGCCCCCACTCCTTTTTAATCATACCTTCACAAGAAAAGGGAGGAGTAAAGTAAAATACACGTCAGTTCCCTGCAGTATCAGAAAAGGGAAAGCACTGAATCTTACTCTGCTAAGTCCCTGCTGGGGCAAGAGTTACACTACAGCAGTGCTAAATAATGAGTTAACATTCAGTCTGACAGCTGGTTCAAAGTTTCTTTTGGTGTGACCTCTGGTTTGGGATAGCCTGTACTTAAATATTGAACACCAGGCACTACAGTCAGTGACTTTTTTGTGGCTTGAGCCTTTCCTCAAGAGCTAAGAATTGAGGCTTGGAATGCAGTTAGGGTTACTGAAGTACAAACAGACCAATGCTTTCCTCAAATTACAGAAAGCAGACCTGGACTACAGCTCACACTGCTTACATGAATAAAAGATAACAGTTCACTAAACAGAAGACAATTAAGAAATACATGGATTTCATAAACTTGAAAATACAGTACAGAGTGTCTCATGATACATGGGTGACTCATGCCATTACACTGCAGTCTTCTTGGTAATTAGACCTTTGGAATAAGTTTAACAAATCAGAATTGAAGTATTTACCAGATGTACTTTGATAACGTTTAAAACAGATTACCTTTTCATTATCAGTAGTTACAGTCAGCATTCCAATCTAGAACAAGGAAGAAAATACACTTAAGTGAGAACTGCAAAAATAGATACCATAGCTGCAAGTCATTTTGGCTTCAGTCATAGAGGGATTTTAAAATTAAAAAGATCTTGCAACAGTTAAAACAAACCAAATTTAAGTAATTCCACCTGTAACACATACAAGGGTAATAACATAAATGAATGCCTTGAACAGAATTAAAGCTGACACCAATTTTCCAAATATATCCTTTGCCTTACAATGTACACAGAGAAAAAGCAATAAAAGCAAAAACATGCAGTTAGCCTATACAATTATGCAACTGCTTGATTACATGAAATTAATTCAGAGGTACATTAGTACATTGAAACATTACTTTTCAAGTTTAAAAGTAAGGAAAGCCAACTTGGATTTCTTAAGTATCTTCTGAATTCCTTTCTTTCCACCTTGACTAGTAAATTACATTGACAGTCAGTGAAGCACTGACAGAACTCTAGCAGAGAGTTGTATGCCAATAACAAGTTTCATGGAAGAACCAGAGGGTCTTTTCCCCAACCTCAGCAGGACTAGAGGTTTAGGTTTATATGAAATATTATATACTATGTTGACCTGTGAGTTACATTAAGCATTATGGCTAGAAAAAGCTCAAACTCCTAACGGATCAAATACAGGATTAAAAACTTAAGATGCCAGTTTACTTCAAAATTGAGAATTTCAAAACAATCCACTGGTCATTTTTATCCTGGAGCAGGAAAGTGGGGAGGGAAAAAAAAAAAAAGAATTCTATTGAGTGCTGAGCTGAGGAGACTATTTCTTACAGATGACACCCCGATAATACCACTTCAGAAGTGTTAATTCAGAGCAAAGGCCAACCCCTTTTAAATACTAGTAATAAACAGGAAAAAAAAAAATTTACCAACATAGAAGAGCAAGGACAGAATGCATTCCATATCCAAAACTTCGTGCTCCATAGAACACTGAAAGCTTGAATAGCTTCTTGATGTTGAAATTAACCTATAGTAAACTGACCTGTAATGTCTTACAACCCATTTAAAAATACTAATTACCTACTTCTGTTTGCTTTAACATACCTGGAGATGAAAAAAGTACTGGAAACTCAGAGATGACCTGAGAGATATATGTCTTGCAAGGCTTCCTAACTACATAGTCAGAAAAATCTAGAAGTACCTATTATTTGCCCCTCAGTCATAAAAGTATAGAACTACAAAAATATCTCCATTGATACTAAAGACAGTGAACAAAGTCTCAAAATCCAAAAAGTTCTAAGCTCTGCAGAAAGCATTAGCAAGCAGCTTTGCAAATACAAGGAGCCCAAGTGTGAATGCATTTCACAGTCAAAAAGCTTTCATTATTAGTGTTCCACTGATCAAACACTACTACTACTAAAGAAAGTGGATTTTTCTTTATTGAAGGAAAAAGGTCACTTACCAGACTAGTACTCTTAATAGGTTCCCTCAGACTCTTTTCTGTAGTTTCCTTCTTTTGTTCAGACACATTTGGCAAAACAGGACGCTCTTGTATAGTTTCAGTTAAATGTCCACTAAGAGAGTTCTTCAGTTTTTGGTTTTCTTTCTCTAGCTTTATTTTAGCTAGCTGGGCCTCCAACATCCAGTGTTCTTTTTCTTGTTCAAGTTTTGCAATTTTCTCCAAACTCTGCTGGACCTTTAGGGAGGAAAGTTTACAGTCCAGGTTACTGAACACAAGGGGGAAAAAAGCCCCACACAGGAAATGTTTGAAGACAGTGTTATTTTAAACCATTACATAAGTGAGCTAATGAATAATGCAGCAGGTAAACAACTACAGATTCAGGCTGTATGCTTAACTGTGGTCATATGTCAAAAATGACCATGTTATCTAATTAGTCTAAAACGTGCATCACAAAGATCCAGCTCATAGAACTGGCAACTTCATATTAGGTGAAAAATCAAAGCAGGGAAGAATTTTATGAAAACTTGAAAGGCGTGTGCCTGGCACTAGCATTGTCTTGTTCTATGCTAGAAAGACAAGCAATCTCTTCCCTCCCAGCTGCCCCACCTCACACAGAGGAACCCCCTAGTCCAGATACAAAATCAACTACGGAACAGTACATATCATATCACTCCACACATTTCTGTTGAAATTCATCTCACCCCTACTAATACACTTCGAATACTGGCCAGTACAAAAAAAACCTACTGAAGTCTTTCTCTTCTGTAAAAGCTCAATGACAGTGATCTAAGCATTCAAGCTAATAAAGAAGTTTTAGTATTAGTCTCATTCATATAAGGAGATGGGCAAACTGTGTAGGCTTTTTAAATACCATTTAACCTCCCTCTGCCTCACCTCCCCGCAAGCAACAAACATATGCATACTGCAAGAATGATAAACTGTAATCTATTACTAGACTCTAACTGCAAAGAAAAAATCATTGTTCTTGACCAGTGCTAATAAATCCCGCATAGTCCAAAAAAGCACTCAAAACATTATATAACGTTAGAAATTAATTCTTCAGTATGCCTTATTGTCTTTTTTTTTTTTGCATTTATTTGAATTATTAAAGATTGCCTGACTTCTTGTATTTATAAATTAAGAGATCAATGGCATAATCCTCTCTCTTGTAACTACATGGCCTCCTGTACCTGCAGAATGTACAAGTCTTGGATAACCCAGCCTCACAAGGATAAGTTTTACTTTCAAAACTCTACAAGACATCTGCAGTCTAATTTTAAGCTTCAATAAATGCACATATACTTACAAACAGCCATACACATAAATATATGGAGATTATTTGATACTACTTTACCTTTATAAAATACACTATCATATATGTTAGTAAAATTTATACCAGAATACCTGTTGTGCAAGACCTTCTCTACTTTCTGTGGAACTCAGAAGAACCCTGCGATTGGCTAAAGCCTCTTCATAAGGCACTGAATCTGCACAGGGCTGCAGAATGATAAAAGAAACCTCAAAACATGTTTCACAGAAAATCAGAATATGTATTGTACAATTATTTTTCTTATTGCCCTCCTTACTTTACTAAAGGAAAAATATCTACCAAGTGTTTACCAGACAGTAGAAAAATTGTTTGAGCTCACAAAAAAATACTGCCCCAAAATGCACACCTGATTAAAAAGCTCTCAGAAAACTTCAGGTGTTAATTACTGATCAAATGCATCTTAAGGTCCACTTTAAAGACATTGCAGTAAACTGATTTAACAACTGTTAAGCACACCATCACTTAATTGTTAATTTTATCAGAGACAACAGGGAGATCTGGCAGTGTTCAATCCTTTGGTTCAGCACATTTTCTCCAGTGTACCTCCTTTTCAGCTGCTTTTTTTTTTTTGCTGCTGCTCTCCACTGTCTTCCAGTGAATACAAGTATAAGAATATGATGTCATTCACTCATATTCCTGGTGAATATGGGAGGAAATTTAAATAAGCAGCTACTCCCTTCTCCTTGGAGTCTTGGCACAGAAATAATTAGTGGAAATGGGTAATGGCAGAACTGGCACATACCCTAAGTTGTAAGAGCAACTATGCTCTCTAAATTTTTCAATAGCATTACTACTCTGAGGGTTCCATTTCCTCGGCCAAAGATTCTCAGAAAATCTCATCCATTCCAAATATTGAAAAGCCTTAGATTATATTCTCTTTATAGAGAATATATAGAGTAGCATAACCAACTACCAACAGAACTGTGTTTTCTCTGTGCAAGTACACGAACTAAACAAACCTTCTTCAAAGACTTCATGTAAGCAACCGCCTTTTTCTTGTACTGCAGCATACACTCAGCTGAAAGAGGGCTGATGAACTCTGTTCCTCCTTTAGGGCCATAGCTCAATGAAGTAGTGAAGTGATCTAAGTTGTTGCTAAAGAACGAGGCAATCTAGATATATCAAGAAGAGTCACTTTTTGAATTAAGTTGGCCAGAAAGATTAATGAGAGCAATTAGTTTTTCAAGAGAAAGACAAGTATTTAGTGAAACCGGACTTCACAACAAGAATTCCAAACAAGCTACAGGCTCTTCCACATAACATAGACCTTACTAACACCAAGCATCCTCTCCACAGTATCTGCTTTTATCACCTATTCAGTTGCTTTTAACTTGTAGCCTGAAAATACCTTAGAACAAACCTGATAGTATAGATTATTAATATCAGCACCACACGTACATTTTCCAAATCATTCAAAGATAAAAAAAAAAAAAAATCACAACTTGCACAAGTTAGGGCATTATATTGAAACAAAAATATCCATTACCTTGCCCACTCCATTTGTTAAAGCCACAACAGAGGATAAAATACAGTCATTTGTAGTTATGAGTTTCTGTGTGGCAGTTGGAACATCTTGTTCTAAAGTAGCTTTCTGACTGTAATGCTTGGAAATATCTAGAAAAAGAAAAGACACATTTATGTCAAATTACAATTTTTGTCTGTTTCAGCAACCATTTTCAAATTCAGCTTCTGACCTCAGGCTTTGCATGCTTCTCCCTTTTTTAAGTAAGTTGTATAAAAGTTTAGTCCAGATACTCTTAGTTCTTCAGTATAATGCCTTTGACAACTGTTTGTGATCATAAAGAATATACATTATGCTTGTTACACAAGCCAGAATAAAGGTGTATACTTAAATGCACTCTGTATTCAAAAAATCATAGCTGTACAGGGGATCCAAGCTCACACTGAACTAGCACTTCATTTCACACATATACTTCCCATGTGTTTATATCAGGACACTTAAAAGTAGAATTTTCAGTCATGTTCAATATGTGAGTGTTAAGCTTACATGACTTAAGGGAAGAATATTTCAATTTTGTCAGAACAAATCTAAAAGACTAGAGAAGCTTAGAATGCTACTTCCCATATTCTAAAATTCTTTCAGGCAAAATTAACACAATAGTCTTCAGAGAGGAAGAAAAAACCCCACAAAACCTTTTAAGTCATTCACAAAAACATTTTAGCTTAAATATACTAATTAATTTCAATGGCACCAAAATTTAAAAAGACTCAAGTATTTATCATGTAAGAATAAACATTTTCAACTCCGCCTAATTAAAAATAAGTAATTTTTTGACAAGTGAACATTTTACATCTACTTTATAATAAAGTACTATTGCTACAGAATGGAGAAAACCCAAGTCATCACCACCAGAAGTCATAACCTAAGGTAAGCTTAAATAGTTGGAAATTAGTTTGGGTTGGGAAGGGAAAAAAGAGAAGTGATAAATCAAGCATTCTGGAGTATGGGAGCCTGAGATGTTAAGCACAACATTTCTGTTGCTAGCTAATGAACTCTACTGACAGTTTTCTTCAGTACTTTGCTTCTATTTGATTGATTTTATATTATAGTAACTATATTAAGAGGTAGACGGTATTTATCAATAAACTTATCCATGCTACAAAACTCTTGGTTTAGTGTCTCATTCTGTTTGAGGTACAATCTCTAATGTAATCTTTCTTTTTTTAAAACAGGGACTCTGCAAAATGGGGTATGTTACTGATGTTATTACTAAAAGAAACAAAGAAACACAATTTTGCTTAGAATTATAAAAGCTTAATGTTTAAACAGCTGACTAGCATGAAAACTATTCACTTGTATGGATTATTTTCTTCCTAGGAATAGCTACATGGTACAAAAATTCTAGGATATACATAAACATCAGTGTTTTAAAACTCCCTGAGCATTAACTGAACATTACTTCACTGAAAATGTAACATATCCATGTTCTTCTGATAAAAGACAGGTAAGCCATTTTCAAGTAGGAAGTTAAGTTTCAAAAAGAACACAGACTTCTTCGTACGCTTTGGTTACATATTCTTGTTAAAAATAGTAATCAACCTAAAAATGGTAAGGAAAAACTCCACTTTGAAGGCAGGTACTAGGTCAACAGTACATAAGCAGGGGAAAATATGTACATTTAATGGCATTCCATTCTGTATGCTAGTTCCACTATAGCAATGAAGTTCAGGAAGTGATACTACTCAGGAAGATCTAGAGCGCCACTATTAAATATTTCAGCAACTTGGAAGAAAAAAGCTAACAGAATAGAGGAGGGAAAAAACATGCATGCATGTCCAAAACAAATAGTTAGTAGGTTTAGTTTCTTATCTGAGCTTGTAAAGGCAAAACAAACCAGATTTATCACATATTATACATTCAACATTGTTACAGAGAGAGTACCTGTGTGCTATGTTAAAAAAAAAGCAGCAGAGCCGAAACGTAACAATATTCCTGTGCTCTCACCTTTTAAAATATCATGAAATCCATGAAGACTTGCAGCAATATTTGTAAACACCAAGTTGTAATTTGTCTTAAGTAGTCCTTCTGGTTTTGTACCTAAGAGTCCCATGTAGAAAGGAAAACAAAACAACACTAAGATTTGACCATGACTGAAAATAGTTAGCTTTGAGAATAATCCAATTTCCACCTACTAGAAACATTTGCATGGAGTATGAGAATCACAAGCAGATTCATTTATTTACATTTCCCCCTCAATATCAAATGTATATACACCAAATTTTACCAGAGTAGGCAAGTAAAAGACTTCCAAGTTTCCTAAATTTCATTCAGATTTTACAAATATCAACTGTTTCAGTCTCAAAAAGCAATTACGCATGCAGAAAGATTTACATGCTCACTGATATAGGAGGGACCATCTGGGTCCTTCTAAGGAGTAAGACTGAAATAACCTGAGGCTATACAATAGCTGTTTCCTCTTATTTACAGTATGCATTTGGAGATAGTTTCCCCACACACTTACACACAAAGGTTTTACCTGATTTTATTTAGTCATTACCATGAGAGTTACAGTTTAATAATCTTGGGAACAGGAGAAACTGGAAGTGATAATTAGCAATAAATGTAGTTTATTAACAATTTCATGATTAAGAGATGACAAAAGACATACTGTCAACCACACTATAAAAAACTACAGTCATTTCTTCTCCTCTACAGTTAACTAGGACTATCTAAAATGCAGTACATGTGACTGCTTGGTCATTTGAAAGCCTGCATTATGTCCATG